GACGTATACGACCAATTAAAGGAAAAAAAGATATTCTGATCTCTCAAACATCATATAAAAGGACAGAAACAGTACACAATTATGCATGATAGGATAAAGGGACAAACAAATTAAACCAATCTACAAGCATTGATAAAATAGAAGCACCCTAGCCTGCCCAAGTGAAAGACAGGTCTCTGCTCCAGGTCGCGACAGAAGGTGGGATTCGGTCCACGATCAGTAAAGATTGGGGACAGAGAGATTTCATTTCCAGGAGGAAGGTTGATTTCTTCCTTACAAATTTGTTCCAGAGAGCATCGTCCGAAAATAATATTAATGTTTTCGGGGTTTTCTTGGACATTGGGGAGTCCAGGGAGAAGGATCGGTCCCGGTCGTGGGGCGTCGGCCTGGGTATTCCTGGTTTGGGGATAAATATCCGGATTGTGAGATATTTTTTTTAAGAAAAAGAAAGGAGAGAGGGAGAGAGAAAGCAAAGGTGAAGAGGTGAAGAAAAATGTGATTTTTTGGACGACTTTTGGTCGGTTTACGGGTCCGTCGCCGTAATTTGTGGAAAGTTGATTGCGACTCGAGGTAAGACACATTATGCCTTTCTTCAATTTTCCAAGAATGTGGTTTTTGACGGATTTCTTGTTATACTATTTTCGTGTTCCATTAGCCTATAAATTGATTTTATCTTTGTATCGACGAATACTTTTAGGCGTAACTTTTGGTATATTTGTAGATAGGATGTTTTTTTATTTGCACGTTTGAGTATTTTTCTAGTAAATTTTGTCACAGCGTAGTTTTGAATTCTTCGGAATTTTTATCTGAATAAAAAATTATATCTTGGATGTTGGGAGTAATATTGCTTCTGTAAATAAGTTCTTGAAAGGATGTTTTTACGATATCGTGGTAATTTGGATAAATTTTTCTAAAACTGTGAATTTTTGTTCTGTTGATGCATTCGTTGTTCTGTCGTTATACCTCTCTCGACGATATTCTGATTGACGAATCTGATTTCTCTGAATCTGATGGTGATTTATGGTTCGATGTGGACGGATATTTGATACGAATTCTGATGTTTTTCTGTATTCTGATTATGATTTTGATGTTGATTCGTTTGTGTGATTCAGAAGGTAGGTTATAGCAGGGGCCGAATCACTTTTAAGATTATGGTCGTGTCAGGGAATCGACTGAAAATGAATTCTGTCTGATAAATGTCTTTGTAAATATTGATAGTTTCTGTCGTGCTGACGAACTCCACTTCGTCCGGACGAACTCCACTTCGTCCGGACGAACTCCACTTCGTCCGGACGAACTCCACTTCGTCCGGACGAACTCCACTTCGTCCGGACGAACTCCACTTCGTCCGGACGAACTCCACTTCGTCCGGACGAACTCCACTTCGTCCGGACGAACTCCACTTCGTCCGGACGAACTCCACTTCGTCCGGACGAACTCCACTTCGTCCGGACGAACTCCACTTCGTCCGGACGAACCTGGAAGGAAAACAAAAGAAAGACTGTCTTTCACACTTGGCAACCAAGCTAAGGCGCTGCTTCTATTTAAAATACAATGCTATGTAGATTGCGGTGTTATTTGTTTGTCACTGTCATCTATCATGCATATTGTTCAGGTTACTGTTTCTGTCGTTTCATATTGCAATGCTATCTAATAGGATCAAACAGGGATTCCAACATTTTTTTCCCATTTATATGCCGTCAGGATAATCCCACGGCATCTAGTTAAGGGGATTTTTTCTCAATTGCGTATGTTAGCAAAACAAGCATGGGAGTCGAGCGACATATTATTGTTAACACAATATTTCAGGAAGATGCCATTAAACCAAACAACGACCAAATGAATCTTATCACTAGGTATATGAACATTTATCTTTTTTTTGTAGAACTTTGAATTAGGCTTACCCACTTAAAGTATTTAGTTTATCTAAAGGAATTGAGGTACATGTTTTAAAGGATATGAGTATTTAAAACATTGAATCAAGCTTCTTTGATCAAATTGAATAGTTTCTTTGAAAGGATGATAAGTTTGTGTTTTTCATTAACGAGTAAATATATCATGACCCGCATAAGTGGTCAAATAAATCGGGATGCGAATCAATAGACGTGTGATAGGATTGTCCAAACCACGCCTTGATTTATCATTATAAAAAATCCTAAACAATATAAGGACAAAACGGCCGTCACACGCGGAACAAATAATATTACCATTTCATATATACATCGTAAGTAGTTTATACTTTATATTCATCAAAAGAGAAATCATCGTGCCTAAACCCAAAGCATAGCTATACTATCTATCCATGATTTAAATACCATTTAACAACCCATGTAAATTCCAATTCCAATTCACACTTACTAGAACCATAACTCGATAAAGATACAAAATGATTCTAAGGCTTCTCTCACCTGCATATATCAAGTATCAACTAATTTCATCAAGCATGATGGATATAATTTCTTTCTTGATTAAGATCTTGCAAAGTCCCTGATACAATTAACATAGGATAAATGCTAGGGTTACTCCTATTTTAAAAGCTGCATACTCAACATGTGAAGAATCCCTTTAATCTCTATCCCATCTATTATCTATTTATAATTTCAACATAATTCTTTTTTATGGTTTTTAAAACTAAGATTAGGCTTGCCTTGCTCGAGTAAAAATTGGAGGAGGAGAAAGGTGGAGATAACAATTCTAAGATTCAGTCATTAGACTTGCTTAATTCAAATATGACATGATCATGAATCAATTAGATTTTATAGTAGTCTAATCATCCTCTCATGCTTTGGTTAATGCCTTCCAATTTATAACTAGATTATACATAACTATTGAACTAATTATTCTAGATTTTTGTTCACTAAATCGAAACATGACCCTTGTAATCTAAATTATTTCATATTCTCCAATGACTACAAAATTCCATTTATGTATAAACGTATCAGAATTCTCTTCATACATCCAAAATTTGCTTTTAGTGTAACACCTATGAGTTTAGTATAATCAGAATATAGCTACAGTTGCAAATCACATAGATAATTATTTTGAGGTTTGATGTCCACTTCCCAACATGAGGGTATATAGGACTTTAATTACAATTACCATAGTTCTTGTTTGATTTAACATTTTAACTCTAGCAAGCATCTCCCAAAATCTTAGTTTATTTACTGAGCTCTGCATAATCATACGTGTTATTTATCTGAAGAATTGCTTACAATTATCTCTCTTGAACAAGAAGGAGAAGAATCAACTCTAGCTTTTCATTTCATTATTTTCTCTATTGTACTCTTACAGCATTATTTTCTATTGGACTAATGACATTAAAAAATAATTTAAAATATTCAACTCCTTAGTGACTTAAAACATAAATAAATTAGATAAAGTCTTCATCATCTGTATAACCAGTTCGATTAGATTAGGCTATAGAAACTAAACAATAGTCGATCTAAAAATTCTCTTGATGGCTTGCATCAATTCTCTAGGGGAATGAATAAATCTCCTTTGCAATGGTTGTGATACCTCTCCAAAGGTCAGAAAAATGGCAATTTAACTCATTTGGAAAAGATCTTAGATGCCAGCAGTATAAGAGGAAACAATAGAGGTAATAACATGCTATGATCCGAACACACCTTATCTTTAGAAGCTTCAAAACAAGTATCGGAGTTGTTAAGATGCCAAGACTAGATGACAAAGTCGCATCATCAAAAATCAAAAGGCATAATGTGTACAAACACATTAGGTCATAACTTAATTGCTAATGCAATAAAGCTTTATGGTGTTGGTTGGTAAATATAAATAGGTGAAATTCTAAAAAGTGTGCAAAAAATGCACAAAATAGATCATAAGTTGTGGAGTTCCAAATTTTAATATTTATTAATCTGGTTTACACCAGGGTCATATCTCTCTCTCTCTCTCTCTCTCTCTATGTCTATAAATAGTTTATGTGAGTAACTTATGAAAATCAGATGATGCATGATGCATCTTTATATGGCTATGTCTAATCATCTATTAATTTGTTGCCAATGTTTTAAATTTTGTTGCATTAAATATGCTGAGATTAATCTTAGAAAAATAACATTATGCATTTAAATCCAACCCATTGAATGTGGTCTTATTCAGCCCTTAATTTTTATCCCAGGTGGGAAGAAAAGCTTGGAACCTCACACCTACCTGAAATGGTTTTTGGAGATAGTTCATTGAATCTCTTACATATGGAAAGTGGTTTTAAGATACATTTTAATGCATTTGATGCATTGAAAGGTTGGAAGCAAGAGTCATTACCACCGGTAGAAGTCCCTGCAGCAGCAAAATGGAAATTTAGAAGGTCAACTTCGTTTGGCTCATTATTCTGTAGACCAAAACGTTTTGCCTAAATCAGATTTCTTGCTCAAGTGCCTGTGCTTTTAGATTTAATTGCAATTTCTTTGTTTTTCATTTTTTACCAATTAATTAGAAACAAACAACAATGCAAAACACTTTAAACTTCAATTTCAAAGTATCATTGTTTTATTATTATTGTAAGGACTAAGGAGTACTAGGTAGGCTGTCAAATATAAAAAAAGGTATACTCAATGTATGTAGCTCCCACAACAGGTTTAGGAAGGCGTTGATATCCATAGCCTTACCCTTATATTTGTAGAGAAGCTATGTTAATGTCTCAAATGCCAGACTTTAGATTACTATAAATAGCAACCTAACCGATACGTAAAGCTTGGTGGTCTGCCAAACATGTATAAATGTTTTCTGATGAGCGTTTAGATGAAATAACTGGAATCTTGCACTTTTCCTTGCAGCAAGCCTGTCCAACAAATTATACTTGATTATGACTATACATTCACGACACCATATTGTGGCAGCGAAGCAGTAGAACTAAACCATGAAAAGGTCGGCTTTTGCAAATTTTCTTCATACATTTTATGCTTTCATCATGCTGAGGATGCACATTGCAACGTTTTACCAGACACTATTGGGATTTTTCTTAATTGAACTAGTTATTTGGCAAAGAAGCTAATTAATCTTTATAAATTAAGATTCTCTCTTAAGTTTTTGGAATTTATAGCATCTAAAGAATGCATCCTTTGTTGTAATTAATGCTTTTCACTAATTGCTTTCTATTATTAACAGGCTTTATTATGTGTAAGATTAATAATATGTATACTCGGTTAGTTCACCTTAAATAGGTTGCGTCTCCCTCAAATGTCATTGGTGGTTCTAATAATCCTTCAATTGAAACTTGTGGCTGCTGCGAAGGTGTGTGAATGGCAGACAATTTTTTTTTTTCTTTCATGAAATTAGGCGACAAGTTGATTTTTACAAGTTCATGACAATCAGAACATAAAGTCATACAATAAAATGATCAGTACAAAATGTCTATTTCAAAAGTACCATATGATTAGGTAATATATGGTCACATATAGATTCATATTATAAAGTTGTGATTTTGGATGCTTGCGTGTTATTTGAAAATAGAAAGACAATGCATAACTTGGTCCACAAGAAATTTTGCTTAATTTTGTCATCAAGAAGGATCTCATCTCATCTCATACAGTAAATGAGTGAATAATGGCAGCCAAAAGAGAAATATTTTTTCATCTTAAATTAGAAATTAATTGCAGATGAGATATAAAGAACAAACAAATACATTCTTCTTGCCTTGTGAAGTTCATATGATTGAAGGAAAGATTAAACTAAGAATGGATCAAATCTCGTTTAATTGGCTTTTTATAAAGAGTGCAATTTAATTTTTTTTTTAAATTATGTTCATAATTTATTCCAACAATAAATTTTGAAATTTATAATCTACTTAGAAAATAAATGAGTATTGGAAGGGGAGTATTGCGCGTGGAAATTGAGCCATTAGAGACATGATCAATCTTGATTACCTTGGTTTTTGATAGGAAGTACTTGTAGATCGCAAGTATTTCCTATCAACTTTCGAAAAACAACGAGCTTTCTCCACAAATCCCCACAAAATCACAAAAAAACAGTTGCCAATTTGTATTACTTATGAAAGCGAAACGAAAAATAGCAAGATACACTTGATCCTCTATTCGAGAGGAGGATCGATCTCTCCCAAATCTCTAGACGCAGCTAGAGCCCAAAGGAAACCTAAAATCTAAGAGATCTCAAATTTCAGTCAAATTCAAGATGCCCTAACCCTAGGAAAATCAACTATTTAATACATACAAATCAAAAGGAAATCTCTAAAAAGTCCCTACATTCAAATTTCCCTCTCAAAACCCTCAAAAATCCTTCCTGAATGGCTCTGATTGGGCGTTCTAACCGCACGATTTCTGCAGGAGGCGGAGATCCCGCCTCTGTTTGCGAAACGCCGGTCTTGTGGACCGGTCTAACAATACTCCCCTCCCAAAGATCTACCTTATATGCAAGGTGGAAAGACGACACCCTCAATTCCTTCTTCATCACAAACGGTAAGAACCTGAAGAGTTCGGTCCTTATACCTGTGCCCCGGCGTATACCTCTCATCACATCTTAAACAAAGCCCCTTCGCCCTCTTCTCCTGTAATTCTATCTCTGTGAGCTTCTTGAAATTGTCCCCAGATATTCCTCCTGCAGTCTTTTCCTTTGAAGTCCCTCGAAGAGTATCCGGTGTTGGCTCCTTGGATTTCAATACAGTGGTAGTCATCCTGTACGAGCCTCTTGAACTGCCGCCTCCCGTCTCTCCCTCCAGGTGCCTTTGATCTTCTACCAATTGAGCTAGCTCCATAGCCTCTCCCAAGTCATGAGGCCTAATTACTCTAACCGCTGCTCGGATCTCTGATGTCAATCCCTTCATGAAGTTTCCCTCTAGCACTGTCTCAGAATGGTGGTCCAATCAGCTAGCAAGGTACTCGAATATCTACCGGTACTCCGTCACTGAACCCTCCCATGTCAAGGCAAAGAACTGCTCGTAGAAGTCTCCTCCCTAGCCAGTTCGGAAACGTTCTACGAAACAATCCTTGAACTCTCTCCAACTTTTTATGGGTCGTTGCATGTCCCTCCACTGATACCAAGAAAAAGCCTTCCCTTCTAAACATAGGTCCACCGCCATCAATCTCTCCTCCTATGTTAGCCCATTGACGGCGAAATATCTTTCTACCTTGTAGATCCACCCGTGTGCATCCTCCCCCTCAAAGATTGACATTTTCAGTTTCCTCACCCTCGGGTCACACCCGTTTCCCCTAAATCCTCCACAACCTCCCATTCCTCGAAGCGAAGGTGCTCCCCAATTGTCACGATATTCCCTCCGGCGATCATACCCAAAGCATTCATCAAAATCCCCTCTTCTTCTTTCAAAATCAGCACCCGGCGATCAAATCATCCCCCACCCCCTCGCCTTACAAATTTAGCACCCCTTCTTGCGTTGCCAATGCTCATCTCCTCCCTAGAAAGTGATTATAGAGGAGGCATTCCGTATTCTCCCTCCAGGATCTCCACTTCTGGCTTTTCCCTTCCCTTAGACGTGTTAGGGTTCTCATCTCTTCCATGGCCGCCGGTAGTTTCCTTTGCTTCCGATGTCACCGGTTTGGTTTTAACTTCAAGCAATTTCTTCACAAGTCTTCCACCACGGTGAATTTTTCCTCCATCTTTTCATTGAAGGATGTAATGTGACTTTGAAAATAAGCCATCTTTTCCTCTAAATCTGCTTTGAGTTGCCCAAGTTCTCCCTCCAAAACTTCCACTTTCCTTCCGGCCATTGGTTCCCCTTCGATCACGTGCTCTGATACCAATTTGATAGGAAGTACTTGTAGATCGCGAGTATTTCCTATCAACCTTAGAAAAACAACGAGCTTTCTCCACAAAATCCCCACAAAATCACAAAAAAATAGTAGATAATTTGTATTACTTGATGAAAGCGAAATGGAAAATAGCAAGATACACTTGATCCTCTATTCGAGAGGAGGATCGATCTCTCCCAAATCTCTAGACACAGCTAGAGCCCAAAGGAAACCTAAAATCTAAGAGATATCAAATTTCAGCCAAATTCAAGATTACATAACCATAGGAAAATCAACTATTTAATGCATACAAATCAAAAGAAAATCCCTAAACAGTCCCTACATTCAAATTTCCCTCTAAAACCCTAAAAAATCCTTCCTAAAGGGCTCCGATTGGGCGTTCGGACCGCCCGATCTCCGCAGGAGGCGGAGATTACGCCTCTGTTTGCGAAACACCAGTCCAGTGCGGACCGGCTGGACCGGTCTAACAGTTTTTTTCACTTTTTAATCATATAAACAAACAAGTAGAGAATGTGACAAGATTTTTTTATGTGGAAATATAAGGTGGAAAAAACCATAAGGCCTCACATAGTTGAACAATTTCCACTAGCATGAAAAAGTTACATTGTGCAACTATTTTCCTTAATTAAAGAATGTGTCAATGCAATGCAAATCGTAATTGTTGTTAGCAGTTGCCTGATCAACGTGCTCAAAGGCAGTTGAGACATTGCTCTTGCAGGAGATGGTGACATTGCAGTCCTTTAGGGAGAAACTTATGGTGCAAATCTTGTTGGAGATGACTGTCACATAGGTTTATAGGGAGATGATTGTGGTGCAATTATTGAGGGAATTGGCTACAATGCATGTCTTACAAGAGATGATTACGGTGTAGGGTCCTGTGGGGAGATGGTTGTGACATTAATTTTGATGGAGATGATTGCAACACAGGTTTTATTCATGATGAATATAACACAGGTCTTATGAGAGATGATAGTGACACATTCTTGAAGAAGTGAGTTGCGACGCATGCCGTAAGGGAGATGGTTGTAGCCGAGGTCTCGAGGGAGATGATTGCGACAATAATGATTGTGGTGTAAGCCAAAAGGGCGAAATGACTGTTTTTGTAGCGACAACTATGATACAAGCGATGTCTGTGGTGAAAATCTTGTTGTAATGATGATCACAATACAAGTGAATGTTACAATACAGGTCTTGATTTAATAACAATTACAAAATTGTCGAAGATTTTACTGTATGCTTTTATGCAACAATTGTTGCGACACAAGTCTTGATGAAACGATGATTGGGGCACATATTTTGATGCAAAGTTGATTGTGATTAAAGGTTATGATGCAATCTTAATGCACTAAAGATAACTTAGAGGATCCAAGTGACTTTTAGAGCTCGAAACATTCCTTTAGTAAATTAAATGAGTGGCTTTTTATCATTTTTATGATGGCCTGATGGGCATGTCTTTCTCATCCATGTTTGAAATATGGTTAAATGTTGTTGTTCCTGGACCAACTCTATTGATCCACATGGGCTATTGTTGTTTGAGTAGCTGAAGATGGTCCATTGTGTTTGCTGGCAAAATATACCATCACACCATTTCTACATGGATATGTTTTCCTATTAGCGAGGAGTACCTTTTTATAAATAGCCATAAAATAGAGATTTGTGGAGATCATAATAACTTCAAAAAAAGTTCAGATCTTTACGGACTGTTTGCACAATAATGAGCGCCCAAATGACTAGTGTTATTTTCGATTATTATTCTTAATGAGATGGATCTAAGTGGTCAGTTTAGTGGTCCCTTAATGGAATAGCGATCCACTTGATTCATGCCACTTTGGGTTAGAAATCTTACAATTTGGGCATCAACAAATTCAGTGAGATGAGCTAAATCTTGTTGAGGGGTCCTTATATCATTCTAAGATTATTATGATGGGTTTTGGGTTTTGTAATTATTGTCTTAGGCAAAGATTCCTTCAAGAATTTAAAGAGCAGGTGGATTTTGCGATGTAGAGAGCGAAAAAATATTGAGCAAAAAAATTATTCAAACATTATTTTATTTATTTTTAATATTTTATTGTGGTTTTGGTTTTAGTTTATTTGTTTAAATATGGAGAAAAATTCCAAAATGGTCCCTCGATTCTTTAGGAATGATCAAAATGGTCCCCTACTATCTTGAGGGACAATTTTGGTCCCTCAACTCTTTAAAATGGGATCATTGTGGTCTCAACATCCAAAATAATGAATGTTGGACTTAATATTTTTAAAATTAGGGGTGGTCTTGAAAATATTAGGAATGACCTTTCTTTATTAGATTTAAACGAGAATTTGACTTTTAATAGGACACAATGGAGAAAAAGGATTCATGTAGCCGACCCCACGTAGTGGGATAAAGGCTTGATGTTGTTGTTGGTATTTTATTTTTTTAATTTAATTATTTATTAGATATAATTTTCAGATAATTATAATTTTTCAAAATAAATTTATTAATCATTTGCTTGATAAGAAAAAATAATAGAATTTTTAGTTATAATTTTAAAAAATTTAGTTAGATTTATAAATTATGATTGGTAAATATATTTGTGACTAAAATGAATATTTAACTATATTTTTTTATAAAAACTATAATTAAAGTTATGATTATATAGTAAATAGTTACTTGAAAATTATAAAATATAACTAAAATTTTTAAAATTATAACTAAAAATACTTTTAATTTTTCTTATTAAACAAATGAGTAATAAATTTTTTTAAATTATAATTATTTGAAAATTCTATCTAATAAATTGGTTAGTTAAAAATTATTAAAACACCCCTAATTTTAACACCATTAAATCCAACTAAAATGATCCCATTTTAAGGAGTTGATAGATCATTTTGATAGGAGTTGAGGGACCAAAATTGTCCCTCAAGATAGTTGGGGATCATTTTGGTTCTTTCTAAAGAGTTGATAGATCATTTTCTCTGTAACTATAATTGTGATGATATGCCTAAGAATTGAATGCTATCTCTACAACAACAACAACATCATCAAGCCTTTATCCCACTACGCGGGGTTGGCTACATGAATCCTTTTTTTCCATTGTGTCCGGTTAAGAGTCATATTCTCATTTAGATCTAATAAAGAACGGTCATTTTTAATATTTTCTAACCAAGTATTTTTAGGTCTACTTCAACCTTTCTTAAAATAGTTTGGTGAAGGAGTCTTGAATCAGGCTGTTTGTTTATTATGTGATTATCAATAATTTTGTTTGGTATTTGTAATGAGATTGTTGCGGGACAATTTGCATGATGCTTTCTATGAGCCTATATGTTTTATTTAAGACGTTGTAAATTGAAAAATACTTGGTTGTGTGCTAAGTGAAATTCAGGTCTTAGTAAAATATTTTGAAAAATGGTCAAAATCAACAGCTGTTTTGAGTTTTTTTTTTTTGGATGCAGTCGAATTTTAAAGATGCGTGCCAGAATCCATACTGGGAGGATTGTGATCAGCGCATTAACCTGGCTTCACTGACTTCAAATGAACCAATCCTTTTTTATGACGAGGTTATTAACGTTTTGTACTGGGATTTCTATTTCTTTCTTGATTCTGTTTATTTGTGCCATTGATGTGACACTCTGTACCTCACTGTAGGTTATCTTGTATGAAGATGAATTGGCTGACAGTGGAATATCCCTCTTGACCGTAAAAGTTGTAGGTTTTTTATTTTGTATGCCAACTTTTTTTATTGGATTCTTCATTAATGGAATTGTATAGCTCTTACTAATGGCATCTCGTATTCTTTCTCATTGTTGCAGCGAGTGATGCCAAGTAGTTGGTTTCTTCTTCTCCGTTACTGGGTGGGTTCAACTTATATCTTTTACAAAGAATCTCTGATTCCTTTCCATAAACTGCCTTCTTCTTGATGGGAACCTGGCATCATTGATTTAATTCATTAGATTTCTTGGATAATATATAGGTCTACAAGCAATTGAATTGTAGTTTCTCAATTAATTAAGTTCACATTGCAGCTTAGAGTTGATGGAGCGTTGATGAGATTAAGGGACAGTCGAGTTTATTGTTCTTTTTCTGGTGACGATGATGCCCAACCCGTTCTTCTAAGGGAAAGCTGCTGGAAGGAAGCAAAAATCCAAAGTTTATTTGCTGTAAGTCTCTGCATAATATCTGGATCAGTTCTATGTGCTTCACTAAATCCATATGGATAAGTTCATCGATTTACCCCGCCATATGTTAATCCATATGCATAATATCAAATCCACATCTGTTATTTCTACGCACTTTGGGCTTGGTTTTGTTGGCAGTAGACGGGTTCAACTGGGAGTGTAAGGGCAGCGTGTCACAACCCGACCTGATATGACCCGATACCATATAGGTCATGCCGTGTTTGATTGCCACAAAAATGACCCCAAGATCTGATCAGAAAAGTACTGAAATAAAACTATATATTCAGTTTATCCCATTTTGCTTTGGTGCCTTTACTCATGACATGAAAACCAGAAAGTTTCCTATGGTTTACAAGGCCCCTGTATCTGATTGTTAAAGCCTATTATGTGCTACTGCAAATACTTTTGTCTAATGCCTTTAACGCATTGCTTTTACAAATTTTGTTCATACTCTGTGCTATTCTTACGTTTTCTCAGTTAGTTCAGCAAACATCATTCAATTTTGAACTATATTGACTTAACTAAGGCTTCGTTTGAGAGGCTTTTCTTAAAGCGGCTTTTTAGAAGCAATAAGAAAGCCGTCTCAAAGAAGCCTAAGGCTATATGTTTCAAAATTTATTGGTTGCAAAGAGATTATATAAATAATCTTTCTTACCATTGTCATCAATCGTGCAGCAAGGCCTTCCAGTTGATTCTGCAGCCTATTGCGATCCAAATCTCATTAGTCAGAGGCTACCTGTAGTTGCACAGAAGATCCAAAGGCTAAAAATTTCCTGGTAAAGCTTTCAGCAAATATAATTTTCAAAGCCATATTTTTCGTCTGCTGTGGATTTTTTAGAATCTAATACTGTCTTTATGGAAGAAGAATGGAAGACTGGACTTTTGTAGTAGTAGTTGTTGATGAATTTGAAATTGTTTAATATATATTTCTTAAGCTTCCTGATTTTTCTTTGCTGCTGTGGTTTAATTTGATTACTCATTAAGAAAGCCTTTGATATGGAACAATTATTACGTCCTCTGATAGGACGTAAAGCTACGTTCGGCCGTCAATAACATATCGCCACGTGCTCTTACTCTTTACCACACGGCCCGACGACTTGACCCGGACCGGAACCCAAGAATGCTATGTTCGCGTATTACGAGGTATTACTCGGTATTTGCTCGATATTGCTAGGTATTACTTGACAATAAAGAGAAATACCGCTATGTGAAGACCAATACCGAGCAATACCGAGTTGTACCGAGTTTTTCTAGAAAAACTCGGTATTACTCAGTATTTGCTCGGTATTGGTTATTGTCAAGCAAAATCAACCAATACCTAGCAAAATCGAGAAATACTGAACCATCATGGGTCCGTTCCGGGTCGGGTTGTCGGGGCGTAGTAAATAGTGAAAACGCGTGGCGAGATTCTACTGGCAGCCGAACGTAGAGCTACGTCCTATGACCGGACCAAATAAAAGTTCTTTGATATGAAGCCTTCAAGCAACTTCTATTGTTGATAAACTTCAAGAATATTAGATTAAGGCTTCTTAAAATAACTTTTGAAAGCTGTTTTAAAAAGCAATAAAAAAGTTATCTCAAACAAAACTTTAAACTTTATTTGGGACAATTTTTTTATTGTTTATACAACATTTTTTTCAATAAACGGCCTGATCATTCTATTAATCAGATCCAATTGTACACATTGAAGGTCAAAAAAGTAATTATTTTCCTTGTTTGTAGCATTTATGTCAATCTATGTTGATTTTTTACGCTGGTAAGTGAGTTGATAAGTATTGCAAATGCTATATGATCAATAAAATAAAATGATTTAGACAAATTAGCATATAACTGTTAAACAAAATTCCCAACAAATTTTATTTCATTTCCATCAAATTTTCAATAAAAGACCTGTACAAATACAGATGTATGATAATTTACTTTTTAAATATATGTTAATTTTATAAATAAGCATGATTTTAATGATATTTTCATAACTCTCTCTATATGTTTTTGTGTAACGATAAATTTATAAATCACAAAAGAATTCATTTCACATCTTAGGCAATAGAAGGAATTTTTATATTATTCATCATAAAAAAGAAAAGAGCTGGGATCAGGGTCATTTATACCAATTTGATCCTCATAAATTATCAATTTACAGAAAACTTTCACCATAAAAAAAATTAAAAGTTTTATTTCATAATGACGTACTCTGTTGCAAAATGATGAATTATATTTGTTTCCATCGATTTTTCAGCAGACCGAAAATATTGTTTATCAGCTCTTGTTCATCACATATAGAAGACCGGAGATCCCGATCATCTCTGTATAACCATTAATTTGTAGAGAATCGAACCAGTGGACTCCGGTACTGAGATTTTGAGGCCTTGGGAATGTACACTCACAAGATGAATCACTGAAACAAGGTTTAGGGTTTAGGGTTTTACAAAGAACCAAAAGTGTTTTGTTAAGAGAAAGTCAAGACATGCCGAAAGAAACACCGAAAATAAAGTAGATTACAGGAGTACTCAAGCGATAGGAATCATGCTCCCGAAAACAAAAAATTATTCTGTGTGGACGCCGAACACCGTCCGGAGACCAACCGGAATGCACCACGCACCCCTTCGCTCTGTACTGCGGCTCGGTACCGATGATGTGGCGCATTCTGGTCAGTCTCTGAACGACATTTTACGTCCAGTCTCCACATAGAATAATTTCTCCTCAAAATCACAACCTCCTGAACAAATTCATCAGTAAAAGTAAGATCACATGTGTATTTGTTCAAAGGAATTCGAAGTGAATACAGAATTGATACGAGTATTCTTAATCATTTACCTTTTAGCAGATGAATAATTTCAACACTCGCGTATTTCACCACAAGCTGATCATTTGACAATTGAAAGCTCTTCTGATTTCAATTTTCTGTTCATATTATCCAGATACCCCTGTCCACAAACGTAGCATGGAACATTCTTCAGTTTTCTCATGTTGTAAATGATGCAGGGACAATATTTCATACATTATTAGAGAAAGTTTTCTCACAATAATAGTTACATCCATGAATGAAGAAATTGAAAAGATAATCATAGTGAGCAGATACTTTTACCTCATTTTTGCAAACATCAGAAACCCTTCATAATCCAAGAAAATTTTGTTGAATCTAATAACCTAGTTTTGCATTTCGAAGAGTGCAACATGTCTGGTTACCATGGTCACCCTAAAACTGCCAATTGGCTCCAAGGATGAAGGGAACCACTTAAGCAAAAGTATCTTCCTTAGAAATTCTAAGACCAACTCTTAGAAGAACTGACTACCCTTAGATAAGACAAGTTCAGATTTATGGAGGGATTGTGATTGCTTCCTCATCATACAAGGATTTCCCACTCTTACTCCCCACGTCTCCAGCAACAATCTGAAATTCCACTCAGATTTCAATCCCAAAGGCAGAATTTTTTTTGAGAGGAGATCCTCTCCAAAGTAGCAAACCTTCTTTCCGTTTTACATTACATTCGGCTAGAGTGGCATTTGCATTCCAACCTCCTCTGGAGTTGCCTACTTCGGTGGAAACTTTATGCCATAATAGCTGCTCATGACATTTTTGCACCTAAGAGATAGATTGTGATTCGAGTAACTAGCACTAAGTCCTTGAGTGACACCCACTTCACTTTTGATAAAATTGGCTACCCGCAGCTCAAAATCTACAAGAGATGTACCAAACTTTTTCATATCTACTTCAAAAGTGAAGATAAATCTTTTAAACTCATCATTGCTAGTGGTAGTTGCTTGAATAGTCTCAACTTCTAGTTTGATTGGGTATGAAAATCAGCCCTGAGCTCTATTCATAGCCTTATAAGATTTTTTTGGGTCAATAAAACCACTATGTCTATGACAAAATGTGACCCTTCACATTGTTAACCGACAAAGAATTTGAGTGTAGTAGTGATAATAGAGTTTTAATGAGTTCAAGTTTAGAAGATTCTAAGACTACAACAAGAACAATGTGAAGGGATTTGACCGTTTGTTACTTTCCCATCTGACGTTAGATGACTCTTATTTGAGTTCCCAGACATGTCCTGAGGAATTCCTTGATGAGTTTAAGATTGATCAAAATCTAAGCTTACATTTAGATTGAACCGTTTTGTTAATCACATATTTCTTACTGCAATCTCTATGGTTTAGTCTTTTATGGTTAAGCTCATCAAATCTACTTTTAATTTTTTTTCATTGATTGCTTTCAATCTTATAAGCATTTGGATTTGAATTTATTTCTCTTACTATTACAGTCTAAGTTTGAATTTCAAAGAAAATATCACTTATTCCAGTCATTGGTAGAACTCCTTTAGTTTGTCCTGCACCAATCCCATCCATCAAAAGTGCATTGCCAGATAGAAAGTGGAGTAACTGCCATGTGATTTTACAATGGCAGAATCCAACATTTATAAGGGGCCAATTGGAATGGCAGATTCCCCAGAATAAGCTAGACCCTTTGATGGACGGGCAGCAAACACATTTGAATTATAGCCTTTCATTAATATTGATCACACAATAACATGTAGCACTGTAGTTGGCTTGGCCCTCCTGACAAAAGCGACTCTTAAAACCAACAGAAAATTTTTTTATTGAGATAAAAATAGTATGCAATAAGCCAGTATATTCTGTTGATAATCACTCATGTCAGAAGGAATACATTATTACGTAATAAATGGATATGATCTTATATTGCTACATCCGGACAACAAAGTAGCCAAAAACTTGAGGATAATGATTTAATTTCTTTCAATGTCAACTTCAATGATCCCACAAACTCTAAAAGTAGCGGATAGTTTTGAGGGGGTTTTGGTGGAAATGACAACTTAAAGCCAAAACGTGCATGAGATAATACAAAAGATGAATTGTAAAATGCAAAATTTACAATAAGCTATAAAATTCACTGAAAAAGTATAACATTGAAAATTGAATAAGGTTTTAGGAGTAGCTTTCTTGCAGGAAAGATTTTAAACGAGTTAACAGTCTGTTACATCACCTGAAGTATCCCTACAGCAGCGAATTTGTCCATGATTGTTTTGTGCTCTACAGGGTGCATATTCAACGGGTGCAACAAAGCTTCCACACACTGCAAGCCATAACAAAGAAAGGATAACTATTTGAAGAATATCTTACAACACATTCCACCATTATTTTCCATTCAAACAAAATTTCCTCACTTTTGATGTATAGTTTTCATCCCAATATGTGTAGCACAGACCATCAAGCTTCCCTGTCTTGCGCAGTTCCTCCATGAAAAGCCTTACTTGAACTGCCTACTCAGAAAGAAAAGGGGAAGTTAATAAATAAAGAAGCATTATGTGGTGACAAAGAAAAACTTACCTCTAAATTATGTTGGCCATGCAAACTGAAGGGAAAACCAACAACAAAGCCCACAAGAGAGAGTCTTGAGATCTGTCCACACAAGAAATGTTGATATAATCCACATGCAACACTTAAGCCAAATGAAGATTGAGATTTACATAAATTTATGCAATAAAACTATGAAACAGAATGGAACTGAAATGAGAATGTGAATGAGCAAAAGCACTTTTAATAACAGCATTCTATTTAAAAACAAATAAATAGACAAACGAGAAATTAGATAAAACTTAAAGAAGTCAAGGACAAACATTTTACTACCATAGCACTAATAAAATCAACGACAAGCCAACATTAATCATTCATACAGCAGATTGCGTCAATCAATAAAAAAACAAGCCAGTTCAGCAACATTAGCAAAATGTGGTCCCTTCAGCTGGTTAAAAATAAATTAGAAGATAAGTACAGGTAGGAGAAACTAGTTCAGCGTATCAATTTCGCCTTTAGGAACTGATGCGTAGCATTCCCGACATTCACACTAGTTAGTGTTGAGTATTCAAATAAGGTAGTGGGTATGGTAAGAGTTCTTCCGAGGAATAGCTTGCGTAATCGTCACCCATAGACTGAACTTTCAACTGAATCTAAGTAAATTCCTATTAGTAAAATTATCTTAACTATAGTACCTAAAATTTATTGCAAAATTTTTGAAAAACTGCAACAACTTGCTTTCTAAACACCAAATAATCCTAATTTTAAATATTTGTAGGATGATCATAATTGGATAAAATTACCTCAATATCAAAGAACAGCTTAACATTCAAATTTAATAAACTAGAAAAAATTTACCAAGGTTTGAAAATCTTCGGCCATTGATTCAATATTTGTCTTCTTCCTGACCAAGACACTATAGAAAGCACAAAGTTAACAAATTATTAATCATAAAACTAATCACAAATCAGAAAGAAAACAATTGTATCATAGGTTTTCTATTAACACAACTTGAACTAGCAGATCAAATGCACTGTTACAGACAGTTTTTTTTTCCCTTTCAAAGCACCATAAATAAGTATATGACTCTTTATTAGAGCCTAAAAAAACTGTTTTAGATTTAATTGCAAAACACTTCTTTTAACAAAAAGGAAAATGTTTAGTTGATTTTAAAAAAAAAAGTTACAAAGGAGCTAGGAGTTGATGAGGATAATACAAGAGTAGTAACTCTCATACAAAATTTCAAAATGCATGCCAAAATACAGAAGAAGAAAGATCCTCGAGATGAAAAACCCTGAATGAGAAGTAGCTCTCACCCTAAATGAGGATACGAGCACATGCTTCCATAGAAGATTTTGGTATAAAAGACCCAAAAGGGACAACTTGCAAAAAGTATTGAGGTGGGCAACTAGATTAAGAGATTGAACAAAGGATCTTGGTGGAAACAAACTAAAAGCAGGTGGTTGAGCACACTCCATAGCACCCAAGTTGATGCCGGAATGTGCCAGCAATCGAAGTGGAAAGGGCTAGGAGAAGGGTTGCAAATTACTTTCATATTAACAACTACCATTTAGAACAAGGGCCCAAGATTACACTAGTTGAAAGGAAAGAGGCAACGAGCTCTTCTTTTTCTGGTCATCACATTTCTAAAGAATTATAAATAAAAGCTTCGTGAGGAACTTTCATAATTCATAACATTAAATATAAAACACCAAAACAAATTTAACACAAAACAAAACAATTGAAATGTACAATACTAAGTCAAACAACATGATTCATAAGAAATTTAACAAAAAAACTTTATAAAATGAATAGATAGATAAATAACAATAACACTTCATAAAGTGGACTATGTATGAAGTAACATGATCATTTGATGGAGTAGATTAATGGAAAAAAATCACTGGTTTTAGGTCCAGAACAAAAAGGGAAAGAGGTAAAAAGAAAAAGTGTGTTTACGTAGGAAAACCTCATTGCCAATATTCTCACTCAGCTCCAAAAACCATCAAAATAAACAAATACAGCTATTATGAGACCACAAAAAGGTTTCAGCTTGCAGTAAAAATAATTAATAAGGTGCTTGTGCAGACATATAGCTGGCCCTCCCATGAATAAATGATAAAAGTACGGCTGATAAAATAACAATAAGCATCCTCTTCACAAAGGTAAATAAGAACATGTTCATTATCCTCCAAAGCATGAGACGTATTATTCCTTTACATGTTTGCTCATCATTAATATCATTAGTTTCTTTACAAGCATAATCAAAGTAATATAATCATGCCTATACAAGCAGAAAAAATTAAAATAACTGTCTGACAAGAACCAGGTTAATAAGGAAGGGAAGCATTAGCTGACAGTTCTCAAGGGAAACAATGCCAATAAAGGATGCCATCAATCTTATTTTTTTCCAAACGAACCAACAAGAATGTATCCTAGTACATACATAGTATGTTACATACGCTTTGACATACCTCACCGGGGATGCAATTTTATTACGAGTATCTGAAACAGCCAGACCAACATATCTGTATCCCACATCCAGACCAAGCAAGCGGCCTTGCTTTGTAGAACCATTCTTCAATATCTTTTGGAAAATTTCAAATGGCTTCACTGATTTCATCTCTACTTGAAAACTGGAATGTAATAGATTTAGAAAAGCGAGAGTACTAACATATGATATATAAAGAACTAAAAGAAGATTGAAGAAAGATATTTATCTTGTTTTTGGACTGGACTGTCAGAATACCAATGAAAATTTTCTTCAAAATTAGGCTACTTATTGAACTTCAGAAAACTTATAACTGTTACTTCTTTACATAAAATAAAAGCAGTGTATATTAAATGATATGGAGAATGTAAATTATATGATATACGTATAATGCTTGCATGTGCATGATTGATTGATGGAGCACACCCTTCATGGTACTGGCTGGAGACGCAATATACCTATGCGCATAAATGAAAAAAAAATATGAAAAAAAATAAAATAAAAAGGTGTACCTTCATTGGTACCATTTTTTATAGTGTCTCATGTGAGAGTTGTATTATTTATAGAAAGGACAATATATGATATATGTGAAATGTATAGATATGCATAATATTAATGGCCATTAGAAATGCTTTATGTTTTGAAATGAGCATTCATATTATTCAAAAGGCCTTGAATTATTATAATTTAGAAGCATGACATGCTTATTGACAAGTGACTCATTTTTTTTTTATTTACAATAACATCACATGTATTATTTGATTAACTTGAATGAACAGAAGATGAGAAAATATGTCTTATAGGCATAATGCTCTGAGACACATGTATTTATAGCTTTTATTTCAAAATTTTGAAGTTTTAGTGGCTTTTTTAGCGTATTGTAAATAGTTAGTTATTAGACGATAATGTAGTCAACCGTCCGACCATCTGTTTCAGCCTAGTTAATTCAAGCCTCTGGACCAGGCCGCGGCAGTATTTTTGCTTGAACTTAATATTCTGGAGTGGAAGCAATGTATCATGCGATTATCAAAAGCAACAATAACACAAATCGACAAAACCTACGATAATAGTGCATAGCATGGGAAACTAACATAAGGCATGTTCTACCAAGATTTCTACCGCAAATATTCATTCGCATATTTGTGATCCACATGGGCCTTTAGAGAATCTATATTACGAAGTTAGGACTGCAACAATTAAGAGCAAAAGTATAATACAATGGCCTCTGCTACTAAATTTCAAGGGTATCCTTATCATTGAATATTCTCAATTCCTATTTCCATATAGTCAGGTGATAAATAAGAAAAATTTTGAACCCCTATTTAAAAATTAGAAAAACTAACAAAGATGAAGATTTTTAAAGTTTTAAATTAACAAATAATTTATAGTTGTATGTGTATGAAATCATTAAGAAGGTTCTCCATAGTTTGAGAGTGGACTATGTTAACATTGATGTGCCTTAGAACATTGTCTAGATTCCCTTATTATAAGTAAGGAGAACTCTATTGAATAACACCCACAAAACCTTCCCTCTCACATGGTATCAAAGTTAGGTCTTCCCATCTACAAAATGAATAATTCTTTGTTGCCAAATTCAACTCCACATGCATCCTTCTCTATAAGTTTTACAATCTAAATTAATGGAACATATCATGATCCCTAACATTACAACTGCTTTCTCCTAAGTTCTTCGAATTATAAGCTTTTTTATCGCACAACCTCCCACTTTCAATCAATCCATCTTGGTTGAAGGCTCTGGGGGTGACCGATAAAGTCATGGTTGAGTTGATCATTCTAGTGGTGAATGCAATTGTGTTTGTAATAACTTCCTAACATGCCCTCAATAATAATCACAAAAAACATCCTCTTGAATGTTATTGGGAGAAATTTGATCATCCCTCCACTACTCAACTTCTACAACTACTCAAACCGTGCAAATTCCTTTGTGGTGCGTTGACCTATGGATTGACTACTCTCTCTTAGAAAGACTATAATTTCTTGCTTCAACATTCACAATCATATTTCTTTAAGCACCTCATAATGTATCTTCCTCTAAATTGGTTGAAGTTGTTTTTGCTAGTACATCATGAATTTTAAATGTAGGTGCTAAAATCCTATATGATAGATAACTATTGACTTTTCATCTCTCCAAAAAAACTTCGCTTCGACATATTACTGTTGTTCATGGTTCCCCCTCTTATTTATTTGGAACAACATCACACATCCTTCAAAAAGCCACTGTCTCTCTCTCAAATATTTTATTTGTAATATAATTTCCTATTAACTTATTATCTTTGAGGATCTCAACTTGAAGAAGAACATACCCCTTGATAGTTGATATTCCCTCTACCTTTCCCTTTAATATTACTCCATTTCAATTGAATTATTTATTGGGCCATCCTCCTCACAAAAAACAAAAGGAATTTATCTTTGTCCAAGTTTGGCCGGCATGTTTATGAGTTAGGAAAACACTCTAGTGTGTATTTTTCTTTTTCTACTACTAGTCACCATTTTCTTCCTTTCAAGTCAGTTCACTTAGATGTTTGGGATCCTAGTTATGTATTGAATCACTTAGGTGTTTGCTATTTTATCACTTTAATTAATGATTGAACAATTACTTGTTCAAATATCGGCCAAAAGTCCTTGCACATTTCAAATATTTTATCAATATATAAAATTTTAAATTTTCACATTAATAGAAACTTCATGCACTGAAAATGCTTCAGAATTCAAGCAATCTCAATTTTGTACTAATAATTTTATTAACCAAACTTTTTGTCCCTGCACATCTTAACATAATGGTGTAGATGAATGCAAAATTATCATCTTCTTGATGTTTATATGAATGTCAATCACAAGTTCTGAGAGGATTCAATCTTGTCACTCAGCTATCTCCTCTCAATAATGTTTCGATCATATCCACTCTAACTCATACTCAAAATGCTTCTCCCCTACACCTAAAATCTGGTTGTAATTGCTTTGTTCATGCTTTTCACTCACATCACAAACTCTTTCATCATAAATTTATGTTTACAATGGTTGTGCATTGGATTTTCTATAGCTTCTTCATAGATCTACGCACTCCTTGCATAAAACTCGAACATAAAAGTTCCAGTATCTTTAACACTAAAATTTGTAGTCCCTTTTCTAATATTATCCAACCAAGATAACAAGAAAATATAAAACTCACCTGCACAGTCTTCAAATGCAATAACTCAGATCTCAGAAAGAATCTCTGCCAACTTCTCATCAGTTATGCTCACTTCCTTGCACATACCCGCAGCCTCAGCTAGCTTAAACGCTATTTGGTGTTTACACTAAAACATTCAAATGAAACCAATTTCCCGTTATGTGAAATAAACCGCGAAAGAGAACAAATCATAAATGAAAGAGAGAACAAGAGATAGGAGCATACACAGAGCTGCTCGCCTTTGCTGACAACGTCATGGAAGAAGGAATAACAAGTGCAGAAGTGCTCTGGGAAACAAATGTATTTTGTCTTCTTTTTCGAATTCCCAACCACCTGAGCCCAGATGAATTTCATATCAAGCGATAGCAATAATAGAAAAGGGATACAACAAAATAGGGGAAGAGGTGAATGAAATGATACCTTAAATATGAAGCGGCCGCTAGGATTTCCTGTATGCTTCTGGACGCCGCCCTCGTCGACAATTATGGTCGCTCTTTCCAAATTCTTTCCAAAGAGTAAATGCAAGCTGCAGAAAGAGTAAAATAGGATAGATCTGACAATACGAAATTAACTTTGAGAGAGAGAGAGAGCGCGGGCATGGTTGTAATGAACTACTTGGCTAAATGATCGTCCGAAACTGTTGATAGTTCAAAAAAAAAAAAAAAAAAAAAAAAAAAAAAAAAAAAAAAAAAAAAAAGAGTTGTTAGAAATTGAATGAAGAGCTGAAAACCGAGAAACGGAAGAGGGAAAATCAAACCAGAACGAGAAGACTTAATTTCCCGCCATATGGAGTCGGCCACAGCGGTGCTTGCTGAAGATGCAGCCATGATCCTTTTCGCTGTCTATGCTGTCAAGCGTGACCATGGCAGGCGTTCAAGAGAAGGAAGGCGCTGAGCAGATTAGGGCGGCAAACGAACTTAGGGTTCCATTACTCGTGGTTGCTCGTTGTGTTTGATCTAGACATCTAGTAACCAAACTAATTTAAATATTTTTTATAATGCTCAATAATAAAAAAAAAACAATTATATATTCAGCTTATTCATGTTCATAATTCATGATTAACATCATTTGAACAAATATATGTTCAGCTTATTTATGTTCATAAATAACATCATTTGAAGCTTATGAACATGCTTGATATGAAACCAAAAAGCTTGTTAAGATACTCAATTTTTGTTTGATATGGAGCTCGTGAAAAAAATTAATTATTGTTTGATATATATATATATTGACTAAGTCTCATTCTAAGCTGGTTTTATGAATTATCAAAATATATGTCTTTATGTTTGATAGGTTGTTTGATTTTAATATTCATTAAGAAGCCCGTTCGTTAAAAGTATCATTTATGAGCTTGCAAAGCTACTCGTTTATGAGTCAGATAAAGTTCAATAAGCTTGCTTGTTTATGGGCTAAACTAGTAGCGGAGGGAGGCAAGGTCCTACAGGGGCACATGCCCCTCCAAGAAAAAAAAAATCGATACCTACAGACGGTTCGACGTTTTGGGGGTTTGACATTTGCTCGCACTAATACTTCAGGCTCAGAAGCTCTCGCGAGTCGCGCGGAAAAGGATGCTCTTGTCTCGTCTTCACTTCTGCCTCAGGCCTACACGACTTCACTTTTGCCTCAGGCCTCCCGGATGGACACACCGGGCCAGTGGCATCATTGCATTTGAATTTTGCGCATGTTGATCATCTAGAAGCGGTGCGTCTAACATCTCATACCCGTGCATTTGCAGATTTGCTCCATTCTTCCATCTTCGATCCGCACTTGAAGTCAAGAAGGTAAGAAGCTCTTAAAATCTCTTGCAATTTCACTTTAGTTTTCTATATAAAAATATCATTTGCAAGGGCTTCGTTTAATGTTTTTAGTTTTCTATGTAAGCTTTTGTTTCATGCTGGGATTTTGTTTGATGTTTTCAGTTTGCGATTTCATTTGCTGTTGTCGTGCTTAGCTGCCTTCAATACTATACAAATTTTTCTTTTGAAGTTATTGATGCAATGAAATAATTATTTGATTAGTGCATCTCAAATTGATTTTTTAGAGCATTGATTCATACATTAAAGGCTTTGCTCATAATTTATTTTTGCTTTGTTTTTTAAGACCTATTATTATCAAATTATCACCATTTGTATTCACTTGGGAAACATAATATGTGAATTTTTTTATTGTTTGTTGTTGTCGTTTTATATGTTTTAGGTAGTTCGACTTTGCACAAAGATTATGAATAAATATTTTAGGAAGCTTTCATAGTCTTGCACATCAATACCAATAGAGGATTCAAGAAGTACTCATGATGAACAAAATGAAAAAAAAAAAGAAGAAATCTGTTGTTGTTTGATGAATCATCAAAAAGCAGGGTAACAAATCTAGAAAATCTTCAATCATATCGTGGATTACGTATACCTATTTTTGAATTTAGCTTTAACATTCATGGTCAAGGGTATGATGGAGTAAGCAATATGATAGGAGAATTAATTAATTGGCTAAAAGCACTTTTTCTAAATGACAATAAATCTACACACCAGCTTCAGTTAGTCTTAGTAGCAGTTGCGAAAAATTATGTTCAAATTGCATTGTTGTTTACTATAAACAATGAGAATTGATGTTACGTGCAGTATCGAATTATGAGGTATTCACTGGACTATAATTAAATCAAGAAATATATTAAAAAAAAAAAAAGAGATCTCATTGGGAGTCTCTGATAAGATTGATTGCGATGTTCTCATCGGTTATGAATGTGTTTGAAATAGTTTTGGAGGATGACTTAAGCTTAGAACATAGATGTGAGACGTTTGCATTATTAGATTCCATGCAATCTTTTAAGTTTTCTTCCTGTTTGCACTTAATGAAAGATGTACTTGAAATCATTATTGACTATCAAAAGCTTTATAAAAAAAAAAAAAAGATCAGAACATCATGAATGTCATGTCTTTAGTTCAAATATAAAAAATTAGATTACAAGACTAAGAGATAACAAGTAGGACTTCATTAAAAAAGTGACTTCAATTTGTGTTGGACACAAAATTAATACTCTGAATCTAAATGACAAGTGGGTGGCCCATGGATGATCGCGATGTAGACTTTAAGAAATGACAAATTTACTTTATTACTAAGTTTATATATTCTACATAGTACTTGATATGCAACTTTAAAAGTTGAATAATCAATTTACAAAGGCTAATACATAATTATTTTCATGTATTGCTTGTTTGAATCCATCAAATTCGTTCTATTATGGATATGCAATTTGATGTTTAATTTTCATTATTAAAAGATATAAGAAATCTTGCTGAAAAAATAATTTAGAGTAGGAAGAAAGTACTGTATCCCCTTATTTTGAGGATATTGAAGTTGATATTAGTACTACTCGTTGCAATAACAGAAGTTGAAAGGAGATTTTTTACAATGACTATCATAAAAAATCTACTGCGCAATTGAATTGTAGACCACTGGATGAACGATACTTTAATCGTTTAGATTAAAGAAATTTTGGATTATATTGAGAATGATGTTATTATTCAAAATTTTCAGAGTATAAAGAACAAACACTATAAATTGTAAATATACTTCGCGTTATATTTAATAATTTATTTTTAAAATATATTTTCTTAAAACTATCCATGCCGGTTCAAAGCCCGGATGAAAAAATATTGAGGGGATCTTAAAAAAAAAGCCCCCCTCTACGAAAAGTTTATGACTTCGCTACTGAGCTCAACAAAGCTTGATAGTTATGTTCGCCGAGCTCAATATAAGTGGTCGTTAGTAATATCAATAAGGCTCGTTTATTAAGCTAATGAACATCTCGACGATTCGTTAAAATTTCGATAAGACACATTTATTAATTTAAATAAAAGTTTGATAAGCAAGAAACAGATCGAACATGAATTGAACATAAATCAAATTTGAAGATATGACATTTTAAATAAACTAAGTATGAACACAAATGGAAAAAGTTTAGCCCTACTAGAAATAATCTACTATACATTTAAATCTACAAAAATCCCTTCTTCACAATTGGAGATGGTGTGATTATAAAATTGGAAATAAATCTTTAATTTATTTTAGTTGCAATAGAGATTATGAGAATTATTGAGGGGACAATTTTATATTATGTACTTTATTAAAATATATTTAAACAATTAAAATCTAAGTCTGACTAAAATGCACACTTTGTTAGATGTGGGCCAATGTTTAGTTAATGCTTCACTATCCAAAAGACTTCTTCAATTATATTTTCAATAAAATAAACAACAAAAAATAAATAATAAGATATTTATATGCATGAATAGTACAATAAATAAATAAAAAATCATTTTTTCCAAAAATACCAAAACAATATAATCATCAAAACAAAATCTCATTCAATTATTATATTTATATACATAGAAACATGACTAATTTTCAAAATAATCCCCCAACAATTCGTATATGACAAATTTAATCCAAAAATATAACATTGAGTCCATCGTCTAAATAAAATTAAATTTATATCACAATTATAACATAATAGATCATTTTGGATCAATTTTGTATAGTCGATGAACTAACTTTAGACAACGGGATATTCCGGGACTAAGACTTCGTTTGGGGCGGCTTTCTTGATGCTTCATAAATCAACTTTTTTAGTATAAAAAATTAATTTTTTACTAAAAAATTACTTTAAAATGCATCAAGTAACCAGCCCCAAACATCCTATATCTGGAAAAATTATTAGGTGCGGAGTGCGCACCGTCCGCACAAGCATTGGGTACGGTACCTAGCGGTACCGAGTGCCAGTACCTAGCGCCGAATAATGCTTGTGCGGACGGTTCTCCCCGTCCTAAATCGGCCATGCACCAATAGAGTGTGTGGAGACTATTTTAAGAATTTTTATGTACAAACACAAACCCAAATCTTATAATAAATATTAAAAAGGCCAAATTTTTACCCTTAACCCTAATTCTAATTGGGATTCTTCAAAGCCTCTCCCACACGTGCTCCAGCAACGGTCGAGGCGTGCAAACCGCCTCAAGAGCAGCGACTTTGGGCAAAGTCGCGCTCGCCCTCTCCTTCATGTCCACCGCCTCACTCCCCACTCTCTCCCACTCGAAGCACTGTATCATGGACCCCAACACCAAGCCCACCATCCGGCCCGCCAACGCCTCTCCCGGGCACCGTCTCCGGCCCAGCCCAAACGGAAGCACGACGCTTCCTTCGGCCCGCGAGCTCTGAAACCTCTCCGGGATGAACTTGGTCGGCTCCTGCCATACCTCCGGGTTCCGGTGAATGGAATACACGTTCACCAAAAGCATCGTGCCTGCCGGCACATCGTAGCCGTCGATTACGCATTCGCTTGAAGATTCGTGAGCGACGAGGAGCGGCGCCGCCGGGTACAGCCGGAGAGTCTCGCTGATGATGCAGTGGAGGTAAGGGAGATTTGGGAGGTCGGATTCGGAGAGGAGGCGGTGGTGGCCGATGAGATCGTCGATTTCTGTTCTCGCCTTCTTGAGCTTCTCTGCGTTGTTGAGAAGGAGAGAGACGGCCCATTCTATGGTGTTTGATATTGTTTCTGTTCCAGCTATTATGAAGCTCTGCAATAAAATATGTTTTATATTAATTGAATTGAAAAATGAAAAATAAATAAATTAATAAATAATCAGCATCAATAATTTCACTAAGTACAAAGACATTAATTATGGGCAACGAATAAATTTATTTTATATTTTGTATAATTTTTTGTAATAAATTAATAAATGTCATATAACATTAGAAAATTGAAAATATAAAAGCCAAAATTATGTGGTGTAGAAAAAGAAGCTGGCTGGTACTGTTCACACTACAGAGGCCGAATATTATTATTTTAGAGAAATTTTGTAAAAAAATTTTCCAAAAAAAATTATGTAAAAAACAATATTAAATAATATTTATAAGAAAAAAACTATTATCAATTAAAAAGGTAATAATTAACGTAATAAAAATATTAACTTATAAATTTCTTTTTCTAATCAAGATTTATGATTCATATCATAAAAAAAAAAAAAAAACTCAAATCAAAGCCCAACCAAACTGAACAATTTTGTGCAAATCAATTTGATTCAGGATAGCTTTATTGTTGTTTTATTTTTTAGATTACAATTATATATTTTGTTGGATCGCTATCTTTTTAACTATTTTTAAGAACTTTTTTTACTAGGAAGTAACTTTTTATATCACCTTTCAAACTACTTTAAAGTTTCGTTTGGGACGACTTTCTTACTATTTCTTAAAGCAACTTTTTAGAACAATATATAAAATTTTTATACTTAAAAGCTGCTTTAATAAGCAGTAAGAAAGTCGTCCTAAACGAAACCTAAGTATTTATTCTCGCCCGCCTTGAACTCTTTTTAGCTCTACATCAAAAGAAATTATTACACGCGAATACCAAATACACAAAACTATTCAATTTTGTCATTGTGAACAATAAAAATACAGTGACGAAGTTTAATACTATACTTTTAATGTTCACAGAAATAAAATCCCACAAATCAGACATAATAATCTCTCTGAGTGTAGATATTTTTATAAATCTTTTAAATACGTCCAAAAAAGTCATAGAGCATTAAATTATAGAACCAACAAATCGCTTGGCGATAACTCTCAGCAATTATTGAAAGCATATGGATCAGCTTCCTGCCCCAGAAAATTATTTCTTATTAAAAATTATTTCTTCTTAACAAAGCTATATTCTATAGAAAAATAAATAAATATTCATATGGCAAGGCTCAATCCACCACACATCTAGTACTATGCACGACGTTTAAAGCAATGGCACTGGATGAGTCCAGCCGGCCTAGTCAACATTCAAGCTAAGTTAATTCTCCTTCTAGAAGAACTGCCAAAATATAAAATTAATGGCCGACAGAAAATGAATGATGCTTCAGTCATCTTCAGAGTTGATTATTATTTTGTTTTTCGTTTTTTTTATATTTAGCACAGATAGAAAATATATCTAAAAAAACGATTACAGGTAATTAAAAATCAAAATGTTTCACAAAGTTCTAAAAATCATCCCTTTTTAACGATCAGATAGGCAATTATGAATACCAAAAACCCCAATTTTGAATTGCAATTCATTGAAAAGAAGATCGAGAGAGGGAGAGAAAGATGAAGATTTGTGAAGACTGGACTTACCATCACAATGTCCTTGATGAAGGAATCACTGTAGTTCTCTGGATCTGTCGTCTGCAACGACAGCAGAAGACTAAGCATGGTATTCTCACTCGCAGCGCTGTTAAGTCTCCCTCTCTGCTCCTCAATCAGCTCCTGCAACAGCTCATCCATCCTCTCCCTGAACGTCGGCAGCCTCTGCCCTACCTCCACCATGTCCACCCAACTCAGCCATGGCAAAAAGTCGCCAACTTTGGACACGCGGCGCAGTCCAAAGAAATTCTCGATGGCTTCCCGGAACCTCCTCCCATCCTCCGCTGCAACGACCCCCTCCCCGTAATAATTCTTTCCGGCGACCATCCTCATCATGGCATCGACTCCCATCCCAAAAAGCCGCGACTTGAGCTCCACCTTCACCGCTCCCCCCGCCGACCATTCAGCCGCCGCGGCCTCTGCCTCGCGGAACAGCCCGCGGAGGAGGCGGCGAGTCTCATCCGCGCGGATGCGGGCCGCGGAGCGAAGGCAGTGGGAGAAGAGGAGCTCGGTCGCGGCAGCCGTGCGGTGGATGCGGACGGCCCCGTGCGTGGTGAGGCACAGCTCCGCGAGTTCTGGGGAGGAGATGACCACAACAGGGCGAGAACCAAAGCGGAGGTAGATCACCGGGCCGAGACGGCCGGCCAGGTCTGTGAACGTCTGGTGTAGCGGTTTGGTGAAGTGGTGGAGGTGACCAAGGATGGGAATAGAGAAAAGGGTTGGGGGAAGAATTATATCCATCTTGTTTTTCTTCTTCTGTAGAATCCTGGAGAGGAGGATGATGAGAAGGGAGAAGGAGACGAGAATCAATTGAAAGAAGCTGGATTCCATGGCGAATGAGCTTTGTTTCCAACACTGTTGTTGAGGAGCTTGGGATATTTATAAGGAGATGACCGGAAGACTCGAAGACTGACTGTATCAGGATGGTCTGTCCACGGAATTTTTTTTTTTTATTTTGGGAAAATCACGGAAAATATTGTCCTGTGAGGATTTTTCGCTGGGTACTTGTACCGGGTGACCTGTCGATTTCTGATTGGACTCCAGACTAACTGTTGTTGTTCGCATAGGTAATGTAGCATGTTCTGATTGATCTCCGAATCATCCGGTGTACATACGGAATAATTTCTCATCTTTTGAAAAATTATTCTGTGCAGATACCAGACGGCATTCGGAGAATAATCAGAACGCGTCACGTCATTTTTTTTACTCGAGATCGTTCGATACCGAGTGATGTGACATGTTCTAATTGATCTCCGCACTATCCGGTATCCGCACAAAATAATTTCTCATGTCTATGCCAGCCTGTGGATCAAGGCATGGAAACTGCTTGGCTGAATATTTTCTCCGGGCTTTTTTCTTTTCTGAAGGAGAATAAGACAAGGAGCAGCTGGTCTTATACGACACCTTCGTTGTCAGTTCACGTGCCGTCTAACTACGGCGTCTTCTGTGCAGATAAACAGAAAGTTGCGTGGGAGTTGTAAATTGCAAACATAACGGTAAACTTACGGTAATAATCAAAGACTGCGAGCGACTGCTGCCATCTTTGAATGTTCTTACTTGATGAATTCCACGGTTTGTTACATAAATTCAGTTTGCTCGGCTGGACTCTCTATCTAACTACAAGAGCAGCAGGTCTTTATCACGTGAATCTTTTTCAAGAGTCAAAATTTTACTTAAATCAAATAAACAAAAGATCATATATAATACTATTAAATAAATTTAGTGTAAAGCTTAAAAATACGTTCTCTTCTAAAATCAGCTCATTAAAGCACAGTTGTTGCTTCTCATAAATTGGAATTAAATAGGTTCTTTCCCCCCTTCTTTCCCCTTCCCTTGGCCTTTAGGTTTCCCCACCTGGCTCCCCTTCTCGTGGCTAGTTCCTTACCCTCCTTGGCTGCCTGTTCCAGTTCCTTGGGCTGCCTGTTCCGGTTCCCTGAGCTGACTGTTCTGATTCCCTGTGGTGCCCGTTTATGTCTCCCGTGGCTGCCTTTTTCGGTTCCCTATGTGGCCCTTTGGCTCCTGCTCCTGGACTTCCCCTTGGCCTTCTATTTCCCCTATTTTGATTTGTTTAATTTGGGGTATTTTGGGCTGTTTGGCTGCCACATTTCTCCTATATATATGTGATGTTTTGTAAGCATGAGATGGAGTTTTAAAAATTGATTTTTGGACCAAAAACCTGAGGTTTTTTTTGAAAAAGCTTGAGAGCTTATTCCATTTCTTCTCTTCTTCTTGGGAAGGCTTTCGAGCTTGTCATCTCTTTCGTCTCGGGCTTCTTACCTCTTTCTTCTCTCCGCAAGTGACTACCCCATATGTATCTTTCTTCTCGATGACTTGACAAGCTTCTTTAATTAGATGTTATTTCATGTTCTAAATGTCATTGTTATGTATTGTAACACTCCATTACCAGAAGTATCAGGCATACCGTGCATTCAAGTTAGTTACAAATCACGATCAAAGTCATTATGCAAACTGACGAACCTGTCAACAATTGAATGACCTTTCTTTTTAGAGACATTTAGGTTAATTATGGCAAACTCAAATACACATCACATATCTAAAATTTGAATTCAACATCTCTTAGTTGATAGTCAAAACTTGCAACTAACAGACAAAAAAGAGCGTATAAAAAATTCCTTGTGAGGGACATGAAGATAAAATTTATGTGAAATTTTGCTCTTAAACAAAAATAAAATAAAGATTGTAAAATCAGAATTACGGGGATGCGGAGGGGAAGAAATATGCCTTCTCAATGTAAATCCTAATATTAATTATTCTGTAAAATTGAACTTCTACAATGGGGCATAAGATGCACAACACGTTTCTCAAAGCAGGTTTGAAGGAATTAAAGAAGCTTCGCGTGAAAATTCGTCAATTTGTGGAATTTTCATCTAAAATAAGGTAAAGTTCCCGATCAAAGTAAAATGACAAGAAATTCAAACTAAGGAAGAATTTCTAATGAAAATATGTAACTAATTTAATGATGATAAATGTAATATTGCAAATGTGAGAGATTCCTTCATTTTTTAGGATGTCATGGACATAAGAGAAATTAATTGTAAACTATAAAAATGCCGTGCATTTTCAACTGTTTTTGAGACTGTGAGATCTTCATGGTCGGAGTATAGTTCAAACTGGTTTGATTCGATTTGAAAGAGGTGAATATTTAAAATTTTATGTTTTAAACTTATTTGTATGTATTTGGAAGTGTTTTAATACCTGAAAAATATTGCATGTGTTCTAGAACGAGTCCTAAAAGTTTGGAGTGAATTTTGGTAAAATTTGAAAAATATTACTATTTGAGCACGTAGGTGTTGGGCGTTTGAGTGCCACAGCGCTGTAAGAGCGCCAAGGTGCCAAATAGTGACATTTAAACGTTAGAGTCTTGAATTTTTTTGGAAAATGAATTAGACTAACTGCACTTTAAATATATTTTAAATCCATTATTAGATTCATTCGATCAGCTCGCTGAGAGGAGAGAGAAAGAGAATGGTTTAGAGGTCTCAGAGGACGAGTGAGGTGTGATATGGCATGGGGTTATGTCGGTGTCAGTGGATGACTAAGGTGGAATTCTATTATGCCGGAGCCCATGAGCTATCGACGTGAAATTCTATTATATCAGAGCCAATGCACTACCAAGGCGAGATTCTATTATGCCGTAGCCAGTGGGTTGCCAAGGTGGCATTTTGTTAACAAAGATATATATGAAAATTTGTGCTTGAGAGCCTTTCTAATAATCAATGTGATAATCACTACGAAATATATACTCATAATTCAATTAGTTTCAGTATTTGTTTAAATGCATTCAATTTTAGTACATGTTTAAATTTTTCATATTGTAGTTCAATTTATTACTATAACACAATATTTTCAATTTTTCCGGTTTCAATTTTAATTACTGTTTAAAGCAAGTTGGCAGGTAGTGTCAGGTCAATCCGGTAATCCATGTGGGTCGGCAATCATGACCCATTTGTAAAACCGAGTCAGCTTAGGGTCAACCTTTTTAAACTTGGGTCAATCCGGATTCGACCCGAACCCAACCCGCAAAATCATTTTGACACCCCTAGCTCCAACTGGATATTGGAGTCAATCTTGCCACAATCAGACACTTTATAACTTATACGATATTAGGTTAAATTGGGTCAAGTTGTGACAGTGATCATCAACACAAGTCACAAACTTATAATAAATAGATTTTTTTGCCTTAATTTTTTCATTTTCCTCTTCTACTCCCTTTCAGCCGTCTCCTATGACTGAGTTTTCTCACGGTGGACTAACCTCACTCCAATCATTTCTAAGAACTCTTTAATTTTGTAGTATGATTCTCTCGATCATTATCATTAAAAATAACGGGCATTTTAATGAAAAGTCTTACTCAGACCCTCAATGTAGCTCATCATGAAGCCCTCACGAAAGCCCATATAGATTGTGCTTGGAACAAGAAGGAATATGGGCGTATGAGGGCCGGCAGAAGACTTCGAGGACTGCTTTTGTCAACCACCTCAACCTCAATGAAGAGGCCATCACGAAGCATTCTAGAGGCTCCATAAGAGCATCATTTGCTAGTAAATGTATTTAAATTCGGTCACAATTCCATAATAAATTTTCAGACCATAAAAAATCAAAAAACATATTCACTTGACATTTGACAAAGAGTGCTATACCTTCGGTAGTAACATTATGAATGATTTAGGATTCATTTGGGGCATCTTTCTTACTATTTTTTAAAGCAGATTTCTAGTAGAAAGCTACTTTAAAAAACAGTAAAAAAGACTGTCCCAAACTAAGCCTCAATCACCGATGACTTCAGCTCAAGAATGACTCAAAGAAATTGGATTCAATTTCAACCAATTAAACTTGTATACTCATTTCAATCTCAATTCGAGCTATTCTTAAAATATTTATTTTCTTGATATAGGCCCAATAAAAGCAAAAATCTAATTTTATCAAGGGTTTATATATATATATAAGTTATCATCCACATAGTTGCCACATCACCCATGTTAAATATTTAAAGTATCTTACTATATATTTTTTAGGTCATACACTAAGTATCTAAAAAATCACATTAAGTACATTATTATAGCTTCAAAGTGAAGCTCCTTACCATTTACATTACAAAGCTCAAGAGCTCAATTCAATCCCCCAAAATCAGGTTATAATTCCAAGAATTGATTCAATTATAATGGATAATCAAGAATCTTCTACACCAATATATTGAGGGATTATTTGAGATAATTTTCTTAATGTTTTATAAAATTACTTTTTTTAGTATAGAAGTTTTGTGAAAACAGGGGGCCTAATAGCTTTCTTCCCGCTTTATAAAATTGCTTTTTATTTGGTCTAAAACTGTTCCACATGAAACCTAACGGCTTCTTACTGCTTCTTAAAGTAACTTTCTAGCATAAAAATTTTGTTTTAAGAAGCAATATGAAAGCCATTCCAATCGAAACCTGAATTTAATTTGAGTCAAATTATTTTAAGATATTTTATAGTTATTTTAAGCTTTCTTAAGCTTCTCATATCCTTCACAAATTATCAACCCTAAACCCTAAATGTTCCTTTTTGTAACCTTTAATACTGTCAATGAAATTGGGAGTTCTTTCCATCTCTCTTATTTTTTTTTCCTCTTTTTTTATGGCCCATATTTCTTTGCATAAAATTGGAAGGTCAAGAGAGTCAACCCACCTAAATATCACACAAGTCAGCTGCCTATGGTGCCTATATGACTTTATTTAGTGATAATAAATAAATACATGTATAAATGCATTGCTTTATCCACTGCTTTTTTCTTGCACAAATTAAATTCAAGATATATTTAGTTCTAAAAATGAAACAAGAAACAAGTGATTCGGTGAATCACTGTATATACATAATAGTTCACCTAATAATTGTGTATGACT